TTCAGTTTGCTCGGCTCCACAGTCAACACTCTTGGCACCAGCAGCCAGGAAATAAAAAAATGTATTGCGATGGGAAAGTCTGCTGTTAGGGACCTCTCCAAAGTACTGAAGAGCAATGGTGTTTCTCTGGAGATTATGGTGCGCCTGATACAGGCCATGGTCTTTGCAATGACTTGTTATGCATCAGAGAGTTGGACAATGACTAGGGAGGAAAGAAGGAGAATTGACACCTTTGAGCTGTGGTGCTGGAGAAGAGTATTGAATGGACCATGGACTGCCAAGAATACAAACAGATTTCATCCTAGAGAGGGTTAAACCAGGCTCCTCCTTGGAGGCAAGGATTCTGGGGCTTTGTCTGACATACTTTGGACATGTTGTAGGGAGAGACAGGTCCTTGGAGAGGGGCATCATTCTTGGTAGGGTGGAAGGACAGCGCAGGAGGGGAAGACCCTCTATGAGGTGGATTGATTCAGTGAGTAGGGTAACCAGAATGGGTGTGTCAGAGGCAATGCAATTGGCACAGGATAGAGCAGGGTTTAGGGCTGTTGTACATAGGGTCGCTATGAGTCGCCACGGCACATAACAACAACAAATGAAAGTTTACAAAGACTTAGAGTTTCCAGTTAATCACTGTTGCACTTTTCTCCCTCCCTCCCCTCCATTCACTCTTCTCCTTGAAAAGAAGAAGAAAAACTCTTTCATTGTTATGCAGTCCCTCTCCCCACGTCCACTCCCCTCTGCAGCCTTCACTCTGGACTTCTGTAATAACAAGAATACACTTTTAAACAGTTCTCTCCCTCATCTATGTCAATTCAATATACATTATTTCTCCCCTCCTTTTCTCTCTTCCCTCAAGCCTATGTCAGTCCCGTTTTACAACAGTGGCCCTATATCATATTCATCCTTTTGTAACTGAGATATTTCACTCAGGATAATGTCCTCCAGGGTCATCCATTTTGCATATTTCATGAGTTCCTTGTTTTTCAATGCTGCATAGTATTCCATTGTGCCAGAGCTTCTCTATCCATTCATTTGTTGATGGGCACTTGGATTGTTTCCAGCTCTTTGCTATTGTGAACAAAGCTGCAATAAACGGGTGTGCATATATCTACTTGGGTGACAGTTATAGTTTCTTTAGGGTAAATTCGCAGTAGTGGAATTGCTGGGTCAAATGGTATTTCTATTTGCAATTATTTGAGAAAGCGCCATACAGCTTTCCATAGTGGTTGCACCATTTTACATTTCCACCAACAGTGAATGAAGGTTCCAGTTTCTCCACAACCTCGCCAGCATTTGTTGTTTGCTGTTCTGTTAAATTTTGCTACTCTTACTGGGGTGAGATGATATCTCATAGTTGTTTTGATTTGCATTTCTCTTAGAGCTAGGGATTTTGAACATTTCTTCATATGCTTGCCATCTGAATTTCATCTTTGGTGAAGTACCTGTTCATATCCTGTGCCCATTTTGCTGTTGGGTTGTTTATCTTGTTGTGCTTGAGTATTTTATAAATTGTAGATATCAGTCCCTTGTCAGAGATGTCTTTACCAAATATTTTGTCCCAATCTGTGGCTTTCCTTTTTACCCTGTTGGGCAAGTTTTTGGATGTGCATAGGGATTTGATTTTTAGAGGTCCCATTCATCTATTTTATCCTTTCCTGGTTGTAGATCACATCCACCTTTTTTAGTTATCTGCAACGTATACTGACCTTTTATACCAATTAGGGGATATAGATATATAATTTGTAAATTTTTTATGTTAATTGTGATTTTAATGAAAGCTAGGTTTTTATTCATTCATTGTTGCACATTTTACCTCCTCTTCCTCCTCCCTTCCTCTTTCCCCTGTTCACTTCTTTTTAATATTTATTCTTTGCTGCACAATTACCTTCCTCTCTCTTGTTTTTTTATTATAGAAAAAGAAAGGAAGTTAAAATTTAAAAAAAATTTGTTGTTTCATGTGTTTAAAGAAGTTTTAAAAATATTTTTATATTTTCCTAAGGAAAAGCATTTTATTAAATATGGTTAAAGTAGTCTTGTTTTATGTGTGTAGTGTTAATTCTTTGTGGAAAGGTAATTTTTATGTCATCTAAAACAGGTTCTTCTTGGTTATTATAATGTTTATACTAAAATTTTTAATTCATTTTAGTTGATGAAGAAGGTAAATTTTTGAATTCCAAATTTAAATAATGTTATGTGCCATTGAATCAGAACCACTTTATAACTGATCAACCACAAAGTTTTCAGAGCTTATAAATTCTACAGAATGTTACTGTCCATCTTTCTCTCAAGAAGAGCTAGTGGATTTAAGTTGCATGTGTTTCGGTTAATAGTACGGCTCCTTACCACTAGGTCTCCAGAGTTTTGCTGGCCTAATAGAGTTGTGTTGAATTCTTTTAAAATAGTGAATTAAATTCTTAGAAAAATGTGGAGCATTAAGATGACAGAGACCATTTAATTTCATAAAAAAGAAAATATTCAGCACACATTCTATCACTCAATGCTTTAAAATGATTTTTTAAACTTGTACCCAAGTAGTGTACATACAGCATAAAAAAACACTTAATGAAAAACATTTCAAGCTGTCAAATGAAGCAGACCGTGGCTTTCGACAAAGTTTCTTCTGTTGAATTGGTTTTATTATAATGATTTTGACAACTGCTTTGTCTTTTCATAGGACTTGGAAAATAGTGTGGGTGAAGTTAGTAAAGGACAAATGCCCAGACTGACTAGAGCAGCAGAGAACATCCTGATGGGCCATTCTGGGCACGTGGAGCAGCCTGTTGCCCATGAAGATTCTTTGGATCCTAAATGTAACTCCAAACTATTATCTCAGCAGTTTTACAAACTTTCAGGTATATCCCAAAATATATTGTCCTCTTTTAACTTTTGTTGTGATTTGAGTTTATGAAGTACTTGGTTTTTTTCTGTGTTAACATTTCATACACATTATAGTTCATGACAGATTTAGAATTCTCCTATTCTCACAGAATTGTTCACAGTTCTTCCGTTTGTTTCCTGTTTTCAATTGTCTTTCTTTCCTATCCCTTTCTGCTTTCTGAAGCTTTATCCTGGGCTACTTTTGAATCTTACACAGTTGAACTAAGGAATGTGTTCTTCCCAGGTGTGACTGACCACTTTATACACCTGCCTGCTGTTTGACTGAAGGTTGAGTTACACACTGAGATGATTTCAGTACCAAGTTTGAAGGATGAATAACAGCCCTAATCTTGGGATTTATACAAGTCTCTTATTTCAATAAGATAAGCGGTGCCACTTGTCTTGTGTTTTTTGACAAAAACTACTGGAACAGCACATCAGTAGAGAGCTGCCAGAAGTCCAGGCTGGGTTTAGAGAAGCGGTCGTGGTACTAGGGATATTGTAGCTGATGTTAGATGGATCTTAGCTGAAAGCAGGGAATACCAGGAGAATATCTATCTGTATTTTATTGATTATGAAAAGGCATTTGACTGTGTGGATCATAATAACAAACTGTGGCCGACTCTGAGAAGAATGGGAACCCCAGAACACTTGATCATTCTAATGAGAAACCTGTACTTGGACCAAGAGGCAGTCGTCAGAGCAGAGCAAGGAAACACTGCATGGTTCAAAATTGGGAAAGGTGTATGCCAGGGATGTATCTGGGCTCTATGAGGAGAAGTGTGGCGTCAGGATTGGTGGAAGATCTATTAACAATCTGCGTTATGCAGATGACAAAACCCTGCTTGTTGAAATTGAAGGGAACCTGAAACGCTTGCTGCAGAGGCTCAAGGGCTGCAGCCTTTAGTATCGATTGAGACTCAATATCAAGAACACAAAGATTCCCACCACTGGACCAATTGGCAGCATCAGGATGGATGGTGAAGAAATTGAGATTAACAACTTTATTCTGCATGGCTCCACAGTCAACACTCTTGGCACCATTAGCTAGGAAATAAAAAAACGTATTGCGATGGGAAAGTCTGCTGTTAGGGACCTCTCTAAAGTACTCAGGAGCAACGGTGTCTCTTTGGAGATGAAGCTGCGCCTGATACAGGCCATGGTCTTTGCAATCACTTCTTATGCATCAGTGAGCTGGACAGTGACTAGGGAGGACAGAAGCAGAATTGACGCCTTTGAGCTGTGGTGCTGGAGAAGAGTATTGAATGTACCATGGACTGCCAAGAAAACAAACAGACTCATCCTAGAGAGGGATTCTGGGGCTTCATCTGATATACTTTGGACATGTAAGAAGGGACAGGTCCTTGGAGCGGGACATCGTGCTTGGGAGGTTGGAGGGATGGCGCGGAAGGGTAAGGCCCTCTATGAGGTGGATTGATTCAGTGACTGGGGTAATTAGGGTGGGAGTGTCGGAGACAGTGCTATTGGCACAGGATAGAGCAGGGTTTAGGGCTGTTGTACATGGGATTGGTATGAGTAGCAAGCAATTCGATGGCACATAACAACAACAACAACTTCATCCTCACCTAAACCCCTAAATTTATACACAGCTTATTTTCAGTTGTTTAAAATATGAAGTTCTTAAGAGATTTCCTCATACACTAACACATTAGTGCTAATCAGTTGAACTAGGAGCTAGTGCAAGTTCAAGCTGAAGCTGAGGAAAATTAAACCAAATCCACAGGAGCCAAAATATGACTTTAATTTCATACCACCTGAATTTCAGAATCATCTCAGGAACAGGTTTGAGGCCTTGAACACTAATGAGCGAAGACCAAATGAGTTGTGGGAGGATGTTGAATGTATCATTCAGGAAGAGTGCAAACGGTCATTACAGACAGAAGAGGAAGAAAAGACCAAAATGGATGTCAGAAGAAACTCTGAAGATTGCACTAGAACATAGAGAAGCCAAAGCACAAGGAAGAATCCAAGACACTAAAGAGCTGAACAGAAGATTCCAAAAGGCAGC